GGGCCTTGGTAACACTGTACCACTATGTACAATTACATCTGGGCCTTGGTAACACTCTACAAGGTACAGTTATTTCTGGGCCTTGGTAACACTACACTAGGTACAGCTATCTCTGGGCATTGGTAACACTACAATAGGTACAGTTATCTCTGGGCCTTGGTAACACTACACCACTAGGTACAGTTATATCTGGGCCTTGGTAACAGTACACTAGGTACAGTTATCTCTGGGTATTGGTAACACTACACAAGGTACAATTACCTCTGGGCCTTAGTAACACTGCACTAGGTACAGTTATCTCTGGGTATTGGTAACACTACACAAGGTACAATTACCTCTGGGGCCTTAGTAACACTGCACTAGGTATAGTTATATCTGGGCCTTGGTAACACTACACTATTTACAGTTATCTCTTAGTGTTGGTAACACTACACAAGGTACAATTACCTCTGGGCCCTGGTAACACTCTGCAAGGTACAGTTATCTCTGGGCCTTGGTAACACTACACTAGGCACAGTTATCTCTAGGTCTTGGTAACACTACACAAAGCACAGTTATCTCTGGGTCTTGGTAACACTACACCACTAGGCACAGTTATCTCTGGGCCTTGGTAACACAAGAACACTAGATACAGTTTTCTCTGGGCCTTGGTAACACAACAACACTAGATACAGTTTTCTCTGGGCCTTGGTAACACTACACAAGGCACAGTTATCTCTGGGTCTTGGTAACACTACACCACTAGGCACTGTTATCTCTGGGCCTTGGTAACACTACACAAAGCACAGTTATCTCTGGGCCTTGGTAATGCTACACAAGGTACAATTATCTTGGGGCCTTGGTAACACTACACTAGGTACAGTTATCTCAGGGTCTTGGTAACATTACACAAGGTTCAGTTATCTCTGGGCCTTGGTAACACAACACCGTTAGTTACAGTTATCTCTTGAGATTGGTAACACTACACAAGGTACAGTTATCTCTGGGCCTTGGTAACAGTACACCATTAGGCACAGTTATCTCTGGGCCTTGGTAACACTACACCACTACGTACAGTTATATCTTGGCCTTGGTAACACTACACAAGGTACAGTTATCTCTGGGCCTTGGTAACACTACACCACTAGGTACAGTTATATCTTGGCCTTGGTAACACTACACAAGATACAGTTATCTCTGGGCCTTGGTAACACTGTACCACTATGTACAATTACATCTGGGCCTTGGTAACACTCTACAAGGTACAGTTATTTCTGGGCCTTGGTAACACTACACTAGGTACAGCTATCTCTGGGCATTGGTAACACTACAATAGGTACAGTTATCTCTGGGCCTTGGTAACACTACACCACTAGGTACAGTTATCTCTGGGCCTTGGTAACAGTACACTAGGTACAGTTATCTCTGGGTATTGGTAACACTACACAAGGTACAATTACCTCTGGGCCTTAGTAACACTGCACTAGGTACAGTTATCTCTGGGTATTGGTAACACTACACAAGGTACAATTACCTCTGGGCCTTAGTAACACTGCACTAGGTATAGTTATCTCTGGGCCTTGGTAACACTACACTATTTACAGTTATCTCTTGGTGTTGGTAACACTACACAAGGTACAATTACCTCTGGGCCCTGGTAACAATCTGCAAGGTACAGTTATCTCTGGGCCTTGGTAACACTACACTAGGCACAGTTATCTCTAGGTCTTGGTAACACTACACAAAGCACAGTTATCTCTGGGTCTTGGTAACACTACACCACTAGGCACAGTTATCTCTGGGTCTTGGTAACACTACACAAAGCACAGTTATCTCTGGGTCTTGGTAACACTAAACCACTAGGCACAGTTATCTCTGGGCCTTGGTAACACAAGAACACTAGATACAGTTTTCTCTGGGCCTTGGTAACACAACAACACTAGATACAGTTTTCTCTGGGCCTTGGTAACACTACACAAGGCACAGTTATCTCTGGGTCTTGGTAACACTACACCACTAGCACAGTTATCTTCTGGGCCTTGGTAACACTACACAAGGCACAGTTATCTCTGGGTCTTGGTAACACTACACCACTAGGCACTGTTATCTCTGGGCCTTGGTAACACTACACAAAGCACAGTTATCTCTGGGCCTTGGTAATGCTACACAAGGTACAATTATCTTGGGGCCTTGGTAACACTACACTAGGTACAGTTATCTCAGGGTCTTGGTAACATTACACAAGGTTCAGTTATCTCTGGGCCTTGGTAACACAACACCGTTAGTTACAGTTATCTCTTGAGATTGGTAACACTACACAAGGTACAGTTATCTCTGGGCCTTGGTAACAGTACACCATTAGGCACAGTTATCTCTGGGCCTTGGTAACACTACACCACTACGTACAGTTATATCTTGGCCTTGGTAACACTACACAAGGTACAGTTATCTCTGGGCCTTAGTAACACTACACCACTGGAAGTACAGTTATATCTTGGCCTTGGTAACACTACACAAGATACAGTTATCTCTGGGCCTTGGCAACATAGCGCACTGGGCTAATTACATCTGAGCCTTGGTAACTCTACAAAGGTACAGTTATTTCTGGGCCATGGTAACGCTACACTAGTACCCAGTTATCTTTGGGCCTTGGTAACACTACACCTCTAGGCACAGTTATATCTGGGCCTTGATAACACTACACTAGGTACAGTTTTCTCTGGGCGTTGGTAACACTACACTAGGTACAGTTATCTCTGGGCCTTGGTAACACTACACCATTAGGTACAATTATCTCTGGGCATTGGTAACACTACACTAGGTACAGTTATCTCTGGGCATTGATAACACTACACTAGGTACAGTTTTCTCTTGGCGTTGGTAACACTACACTAGGTACAGTTATCTCTGGGCATTGGTAACACTACACTAGGTACAGTTATCTCTGGGCGTTGGTAACACTACACTAGGTACAGTTATCTCTGGGCCTTGGTAACACTACACTAGGTACAGTTACCTCCTGGGCCTTGGTAACACCACCACTGCGTGCCAGTTATCTCCAGGGCCTTGGTAACTACACTAGGTTACAGTTATCTCTGGGCATTGGTGACACTACACTAGGTACATATCTCTGGGCATTGGCAGCTTCACAAGGCTGTTTTCTTTGGGAGCCTTGGTAACACTACCCACTAGGTACAGTTATCTCTGGGCCTTGGTAACACTACACTAGGTACAGTTATCTCTGGGCATTTGTAACACTACACTAGGTACAGTTATCTCTGGGCCTTGGTAACACTACACTAGGTATAGTTTTCTCTGGGCCTTGGTTACACCACACTAGATACAGTTATATCTGGGCCTTGGTAACACTACACTAGGTACAGTTATCTCTGGGTCTTGATAACACTACACATGGTACAGTTATCTCTGGGTCTTGGTAACACTACACTTTGTACAGTTATCTCTGGGCCTTGGTAACACTACACTTGGTACAGTTATCTCTGGGCCTTGGTAGCACTACACAAGATACAATTATCTCTGGGCCTTGGTAACACTACACTAGGTACAATTATATCTGGGCCTTGGTAACACTACACCACTAGGAACAATTATCTCTGGGCCTTGGTAACACTACACTAGGTACAGTTATCTCGGTGCCTTGGTAACGCTACACCACTAGGTACAATTATCTCTGGGCCTTGGTAACACTACACTAGGTACAGTTGTCTCGGGGCCTTGGTAACACTACATCAGATACAGTTATCTCTGGGCCTTGGTAACACTACACAAGGTACAATTATTTCGGGGCCTTGGTAACACTACATCAGCTACAGTTATCTCTGGGCCTTGGTAACACTACACATGATACATTTACCGTATCTCTGGCCCTTGGGAATACTACACAAGGCACAGTTATCTACAGTGGTACAGAAGGTGTGACCAACATTGCTTGCACTACCACTCATCGGATGATTGTATAACAGCACTTGGTGAGTACTGTATTAAGAGAAGAAATACAATATACTGTACAGTACTGTTCTAGTTATTCACTTTATAACATGTGGCAACACATTTCTTGGTACAAGTATAGTACAAGACAACTTATTTTAAGGAGTTTTTGGTTTCCTGAATCCTAGGTCATCCATGTTACCCCAGTCCTACCAGTAGCCTACTGTATGTCGAGTTTGGTACCATGCACAGTGTCCCCGCCACGTAAACTCAGTTGTATGTTCGTTTTACTTTTTAAAAAGTAAAATAGAGAAAACGAATGCATGATTTAAGTGGTGAAAATATACTAAATAATAGTCTATTTAGAAGTTGATAGTTCCATAAAAGTGAGTGAAATGAGTTTGCTTATGTGGAAATTATTTTGTATAATTATTTAGAAATTATTTTGTATAATTTCACATAATAATCTTAAATTGTAAACAAAACCTCATAGCAACTTGCCCCATGGAGCCCTGAAGCACCTACGATAAGCTAAGTATCTGAGAGTACTGTGAAGAGAAAAGTGAATTTGTGGGATAGAGTGGAGGAAGTAAGCCTCCATTTTATTTTTAACAAGTTAAATAATATTCTGTAATTGTGTTTGTATATACTTACCCCAATTATCTTTTTACTTATATTTATCTATAGAAGTAAAATACTTGTTTTCACAAAGCTTTCAAAACTAAAGTTGATCAAATTACTGTATGCAGTACCAAAGATTTGGGGTAGAATATGTCAGTTGCTGCTTGTTCTCACTTTTCTTGTGTCCGTCTGGTAGCCAATCAACTGCCTTGCTACAAACTGACCCTAGGCCACAGTTACAAGGTTCATTTGAAAAGACTATAGATATTGTTTTTGTTGAAACCAAGTCACTTTGGAGTAAGTGACCTTTCATTGTTGTATTATATGGATATTTTTACTACATTATTACTAAATCTTGATTGAGGTCCGTGTACTATACCGTACTCATAAAATTATTATTTTTTTCTTGATTTCGAATTTCTGTCAAAAGTTGGAGTTTTTCTATCCCACAGGAACAAGAAATGCATCAGGAGAGTGAGCGATTACATCAGCAAATTATAGAGGCACGTAAAACTCATAAGAGCTTCCTCTACCAGAAACAAAGTGCTCTAGACATAGCAAAGGAGGAGTAAGTTTTAAATGGACATTTACTTTTTTAAGCTTTGGATTTTAAACCACTGTTTAAAATACAGGTAAACCTCTATTTGCAGTGGGGTTAGGTTCTTGAAAACCTAATTGCTGGTCGAAATATCATAAATCAGGTTCATTAATTCAGTTCATTGGAATAGGTTCCTGGCCAGTCGGACACCCATATGTATCACCTAAAAAAAAATATATATATATCCTAGAATGTAACTACAGTGTAGTACCACTACACAATTAAACAACACTCACCACATCATAATGAACAAATCTGACATGATCAATGTCGGGTGGAGGTGGGTGGTGGATTAGTGGTCTCATGCAATGTCAGGTCACTCATTATCAGGGTGGGGGATTAGTGGGTCTCATGACCTGAAGATATCTTGAATAAAGATTTTAGAGCAAAAATTATATACAGTAGATATGTGTATTAGAATACCTGTACTGCCATATAATAGCCCAAGATGAGACCATTTTTCAGGAATTTTTTCCAAAAAAATCTTAAATTATAGTGATTTATCTTCCAAACAGTCTCCCTTAACGTTGTCTGTTGGTCTTGGTTTTATTATGCTTGTATGAGTTCTCCAGCAGGATATGTTCATGAAATTTACTATTTATTTATTCTTGTGTGAAACTTGGTGTATATAAAATACAGATTTGGGTGCCGGTAAACCTGTAAATATTTCTTGAGGTCTCTCTCTCTCTCTCTCTCTCTCTCTCTCTCTCTCTCTCTCTCTCTCTCTCCTCTCTCTCTCTCTCTCTCTCTCTCTCTCTCTCTCTCTCTCTCAAAATGACTTACTGCTAATCATTTGTTTGATCAACAGGTTGGAAGCCACAAAGATTCATGGGAAAGAACGTGCACATGCTGGAGCAGCATTCCTGGTGCGTGTGTGTGGTGCTGCACTGGAGCACCTTGAATTTGAAAACCATGAAGCCAACAAGTTTGTTGAGAGTATGGAAAAAACATGCAAACAGCTCTTGAATTCAGTAGAGGTGTCAGATGACAAAGATTGAAATAGCTGTAGATGATGTAAAATTTATAGGATCCCTTCGAGTACTGTATTATTCTTCTTTATTCTTTTAATTTAACATGAAGGCAGTGTGGTAGGTTCCAAGTTGCATTTTCTTATTCATTGTTATTACTTGAAGCTTAATGTGTTTTTTTTTATGGTTTCTTTTTAACCACATTCCATTTTTACATCGGTATAAAAGTGTATTATAGTAAACTTGTAAAACATGCATGTATGAAAAGGTAATTGAAGAAAACTTGCCAAATTCTTGTTATTTTCATTATACCGAGGACAGGAAAAATTAAACTTGAGATTTAAAGAATCACTGAATAGAATGCTGAGGATTGGATTTAAGGATAATGAAATGGAATAAAGTGAAGTGCATAAATTTCTAGTGTGTACCACATGTGTGGATTACAGTAGTACAGTATCTCCATTAGCTGAAACTCAACAATTGCTGGAATTGAAATTTACTAAAATTTTTTGGGAACATTCCAAGGTTGAAAATCAGGTGCAATTTCTGAAAATTCCAAGAAATGTTCTGGAAAACTCAGAATTTTTATTTCTGGTTCTGGGAATAAATTTTCAAGGCATCCACATGTGTCAGGTGCTTAGGTGGTCCAGCTGCTTGGATTGCTAAGTTCACATTCTGTTACCATTGTGGAAGGTTGTTCCTTTGCTAGCTGCTGTTTTCTGTACAATTTGTGTTGTGCAGTGCTGTACATTACTGTACCAGAACAAAATCAGCCAACAATACAGCATTAAAAATTTAAAAATTATTGCACTTTAGGTGTACAGTAAACTCTTGCACTTACGGACAATCAGAGGGGGGGAGAAAGGTATCCAGATGTGGCAAATGTCCGGATGAACTGGGGAACCAATGCGTGTTAACAATAACCATAATATTGTACAGTCTCGTTCAAGATTCTTCGAACACTGCTGGAGACAACTGGCAACTCAAGGCCGTTTGTTTACTATACTGTAGTACGTAGTAAAAATTATGAACGAATGTAAAAGGTTATCGGTGATTGGTTACTTAGTTCCCTGTTGCTTAATTAATGGCTGGGCTTTGTTGTTTCGTATTATATTATACTACGTACAATGGGATATGTTCCACAACTACTAAAAGTCAGCAGTAATGCTATAAAAGTTGTGGAAAAATCATTAAAATATTCTTGCCTATGCAGCATTATGGACATGTTCCACATTAATTCCTGTACAGTACTCCCTCTTTATCGACGGATTTTTTATCGACGGTTTCGATTATCGACGGATTATTTAGCCGGATTTTTATTTTGGCACCAAACAGCTCCTCCCAGTCCTCTCCTTGAACAGGGCTAGAGGGTACATGTTTTTCGAATCGTTTTCAGTTAAAAAATTATTACATCACACGTATATTTTACCTAAACTGCGCCTGAATGAATATATTCTCGGAAATAAATAGTAGTTTTGCTGAAACGTGATGTATTTCAATGTAAAATAAGATAAAATACATGACGGAAACAAAAGACTTTACCTAAGCTTCCGATGTTCTTGAGATGTTACTCGTTTTTTTAATAGTTTTCGGTTAAAATTCTGTTATATTACAATGATATTCTATTCATACTGTGCTTGATATAATACATTCACGGAAATGTAATATTTTTGCTAAAATGACGTACGTATTACAGTGGAAAGTGGGATAAAATCGTGACGAAAACAATGACTTGCGCTTTCTTTCGTTCAAAAGATGTTACCGTAATTACTTTTCGAATGGTTTAGTTAAAAAACTGTTGTATTGTATTACAATAATATCCTAATTGACTTGAATAAATATTACGATACCATATTTCTGAATATTTTCATTAAAATCCATCAAAATCATTTTCCTTGTCATCGTCTGCAGCACCAAACAGCTTCTCCCAGTCCTCTCCTTGAACAGGGCTAGAGGCTACGTGTTTTTCGAATCGTTTTCAGTTAAAAAATTATTACATCACACGTATATTTTACCTTTAAATCATGCGCCTCTGAAATGAATATATTCTCGGAAAAGGCAGTAGTTCGCTGTTCTACGGGCTTCAATGTAAAATAGGATAAATACATGTCAAAAAAAAAACAAAAGACTTCACCTAAGCTTCCGATGTTCTTGAGATGTTATTCGTTTTTTTAATAGTTTTCGGTTAAAATTCTGTTATATTACAATGATATTCTATTCATACTGTGCTTGATATACTACATTCACGGAAATGTAATATTTTTTCCTGAAATGACGTACGTATTACAGTGGAAAGTGGGATAAAATCGTGACGAAAACAATGACTCACTTTCTTTCGTTCAAAAGATGTTACCGTAATCACTTTTCGAATGGTTTAGTTAAAAAACTGTTGTATTACAATAATATTCCCTCCTAATTGACTTGAATAAATACTTGAATGGAAATATACAATATTTTTGTTGAAACTACCCGCGTTTCAGTGTAAAGTGTTGTAATAATAAATGGTAAACAATTTGCCTTGGGCAGCCGGATTTTTGGACTTTTACTGTACTGTACACTGTTTTCTTTACTGTAAGGACCGATGTTCACTTCAATAAATGAAATCGTAAGTTTGCTAGTATTTTTGTCCACTTATTATATTATTATTATACACTATTATTTAAGGTTATGCGTAAAGGAAACGCATTAATGCTTAAAGGTACATTTATTCAACATATGCTAATAATAGTTAGAAAAATTACGTAACCATCACGGTATCGACGGTTTCTTTATCGACGGCCGTTTACAGAACGTAACCCCCGTCGATAAAGAGGGAGTATCAATTTTCTACAATATCAAAATATTGTGAGGATTGATTTTATTTATTTTTGGCTTCGGTTTATTTGGTACTTACCCTCGGAGCAATGAACAATGGCAGACTGTAGTACCCTTCAGAGAGGGGGGACTGGTGGACATAACAGCTGATTGTTGGTTAGACATAGTGAAAGATGTAAATCTTTGTTTTCTCATGTGATATCTCCGCAGTAGAATTGTGAGCAAAGTTCCCTGGACACTTGATTATTATTATTAGTGAGATCAGGAATTTTTTTTTTTTTTTCAGACTTATCTCAGAAGCATCCCCTTCCATTTGAAGTCTGACATAGTAAGTGATGAGAAGCATTGCAATTAGACATTATAAGTGATCCAGAAGTAGATGCCAGATATTGTCAAGGGTTCGTGGAGTTTTGTCCACAATTGTACATAGTTCTTCACTTCATTCTTTGGCAGAATAGGTTTAGATATTCTTTATTATACTTTTGTGTCTGTGTGTGTACACACACACTTGCTCGCTCACCTTGTAGCTTTCTCTTAACCCATGCTGGCAATCTATTGAGGTGAATTTGAGCATCATGAGAAATGGGTGCCCAAATTAGCAAATTCAGTATTTTGGTAAGCCCAGAGTCCCAAACAGGCTAAATTATTTGAGGGTTTGGTGTGTGTGTTTAAATATACTGCAGTATACAGTACATCACAGCCTGTGTACATTTCCATGTGGTAAATTTAATTTATTTCCAATCCTTTACTATCTTTTAGGTGACAAAATATTTCATTTTATGCAGTTTCTAGGGCATAATAATATAATACAGTATCCTCTAACATTTATAAAACCAACCTCTGTTACATTTTTATGTTTATAATTACTTTTCCCTTATTTGGATTCTAAAACTGGTCTCTTTTAAGTTTTACTTATTTGTTGTATCATAATGAAAAAAAGATTGTAAGAAATTTTAAGTTTTCTATTAAGAAATTAAAAATACATCCCAGGTTGACTTTATTTTTGAAGTGAAATTTATCACATTCCAAATAAAATTGTTTTTTACACCAAAAAAAAAAAAAAGGTCTACTTCCATTGCCTCCTCTGCTTGTGGGCAGTGTGCCACTGAGAGCTGACAAACACTATCTAATAAAAACAAAGCCTTGGACATAAAACACAATTTCAAAAAGTTTAAGAATGAACAGGCACAAAATTAAAATAAGAACTTTGAATGAGAGAACATCAAATGAGAGAAGGAAGTTTGCAAATGTTTGCAGGTCGATGACAAGGTAGCAGTGGGACATTTTGGAATTTAGTGAATAAAGATGGACAAGATTGAATCCTAGTGAAGAATTTTATGAACTGTACATGAGCAGTGCAAGGCATGAAAGTGGTGTTGGTATTCTTGTAAACCAGAAGTTGGGTAATTGTCAGATTGTTCTGTTAGTCAAGTTTAATGTAAAACCCATGGAATTGGTAATTATAAGGTTATATATACCAACACTTGAGAGTGAGGATGAAATCCTATGAAAATTTAAAGAAGCCAAAAAGCATTGTGAAGTTTAATGAATGTCTCATTGTAATGGGTCATTTAAATGCAGCAAACACATTGAAGGGGAAAAAATGCACCGCAAGTAGACCACATGGGTTGGGTAGTGAGATGAAAATGTAAATAATATTTTCAGGAATCAAATACGGGTATCCCTCAAGATACGAGTGGGTTAGGTAAAAAATAAATACATTTGAGTCTGGATTTACGCGGTGCCTTGCCAGAATTGAAATGCTTGATTTGCACAGTAAATTTGGTCATTTACGCGGAGAGCATCTGGCGGTCCTGCAATGCCATTTTTGGATTCAAACCTCCCGCCATGTTTGGGTAAGCGGCGCGAGTAGGTTGCGCAGTGTAAGTCTCTGTTGCATTATCGGTGACGTCATATGACGTATCGGACTGTGATTGGTCCAAGCATCCTTACCTCCCTCCGCCGCTAGCTGTGATTGGTTTAATGTAATATGACGTGGCCTGCCACGGGAGGGAAGGCGCTTGACCTAGCCGCGTCAGTTACTCTCCTCCCAGTCACTCTGTGTAAACTGTGTTCTATTGTTCCGATAATTTCGTAAGAATGGCTTCCACTGGACCCCCACCACCACAGAAAAACCTTGCATTACCTGGACCCAGCTGCCCTAGGCCAAAGAAGATACGACGTGCCCTAAGTTACGAAGTGAAGTACAAGATTATACAAGATTTAGAAAAAGGAACCAGACAGGTTGATTTGGCGCGCCAACATGGTGTAAACGAATCTACGATCAGGACGATCAAGAAGGATGCAGCCAAGATAAAAGAACACATGAACATCACAAAGTCTACAGGTGCTTCAATGGTGAAGTACTGCCAGAACAAAGTGCTGCTCAAGACGGAGAATTTACTTGTGAGCTACTTGATTCTACAGGCAAGACGGAACATGGCGGTGGACACGCGGTCGGTTCAAGGGTATGCACGTGAACTGTACGTAGCAGTGGCACGTAAGATGGGAATTGCAGAGCCCAAACCCTTCAATGCTTCCTCTGGGTGGCTGCAAGGGTTTAAGAAGAGGAACAAGATCACCAACATTAACATTGTTGGTGAAGGAGCGAGTGCTGACCGTGTTGCGGCTAGTGATTTTCCTCCATTCTTACGTGACGTTATGGAGGAAGGCCAGTACACCGACGACCAGGTGTTCAACATGGATGAATCCGGTCTGTTTTGGAAAAAGCTACCTTCCAAGACCTTCGTTGTCAAGTCTGCCAGCAAGTGTTGGGGCCGGAAGTTGCAGAAGGAGCGCCTCACCGTTTTGTTTACCACCAATGCCCCCGGTACCTGTAAACTCAAGTTATCGCTGATCCATACAGCTTGCATGCCGCACGCCTACAAGAACATGGACATGACCAAGCTAAATGTCCACTGGCTAACCGCACATAAGGCGTGGATGTTCTCTGCTCTGTCCCTCTACTGGTTTGACGACTATCGTTCCCGACGTGAAGAAATTCTGCGAACAACAGAATGTTCCATTCAACATTTTGTTGCTCCTTGACAATGCACCAGGACACTCGCCCCTACTGTTGGATTGTCACCCAACGTAAAAGTGGTCTTCCTTCCTCCCAACACTACGTCGTTAATCCAGCCCATGGACCAGGAGTTGATATGTAACGTTAAGGCTGCATTCTCTACAAAGAAGATTAAGCTCCTGAATGACTGTACCAACACCAAGGATGAGTTGCGTAACCTGGGTGACACCGATAGCGAGAGCGACGAGGACGAGAAACGAGTTGGCGGATCAAGAAGTTCGCATCAAACAGTTTTGGAAGAAATTTAACGTCAAGAAAGCTGTTGATTTCTTGGTGGAGGCATGGGATCAGCTATCTGTAGCAACGATTCGTCATGCATGGCTGCATGTGTTGCAAGGTATCCCAGGTG